CCTCCCGCTCTCTTTTGCTGATCATGATCCCGCACTTTTACAATACCTCGTTGTGCGAAATCCACCTCGCAATGTCCCCTTTATTTTCCGCTTCAAATAGGGCCCGGTCTTCAGGTGTCATTATTATTTTACCTTCTTTGTCATTGTACCTCTTACTAATTCTTTCTACCAGAGTGATTATGTCATCCAGAAATTTGATTTGTGCCTCCTCGCCACGGTACAGTTTTGGTTCCGACATTTTAAATTCAGGATCCTCCGTGACGAGGACGTAAGCGTAAGAATTTGAGATGTGCCGTATATACGCAGACGCTGGATGCGTCGAGTCACCATGAATTTGTTCCAAGTAGGCCTCAAAGTCTGCATAAAGTACGTAATTATGTTTGATTTCCTTATGATGATTTTTGAACTTGAGGTATCGCTCGTCTGGAAATGAAGCTAGGAATGCGTCTTTGCTTACCAAAGAGCAAAGAATTTTATGTTGACGCAATTGCTCCATCGAGTTCTTATGTGTAAAGCATTTCTTGCAGATGTAGATACGAGTTTTATGTTTTGTCAACTGTTTACGTACAAGTTGTTCAAAGTTACTGATCCAACAATAATGGTAACTTAAAGGTACGGGGGTTGAGAGATATAGCAGGTCGGTGTGGTCTTCTTTTTCCGGGTCGGCAACTTTGATGGGATATACTGTATACTTTTTCTTGTTTGACACCAAACTCTCACGGAGCCCAAATACCGAAACGGATACGTTGTTCCTTTTTTCGAATTTTATAATATCAATTATGCTCGTGGGGAAGGGAACACAGGAAAAATCGTAATGGTTAAGTATATCTACATATTTATCAGGACGATATTTATTCTGCGCCTCCTTCGGGACGAACTTTCCCAACATTGCAAACAGGAAACAATCGTTAAATTCACCATTATTTACATTGACAACATTGTTGGTGCGAAACGGAAGCTTAACGTACGTTCCACCTCGGTGTAAAGCATAGTAGCGGTTGACACGTAGCTCCATACCCTGTATCTTCTTCAGCACCCAACCGGATCCGTTCATGTGGAAATCGAATGACTCCTTATTAATCTTGACTCTTAACTTTTCATAATACTCGTCCAGATCCGTTGACGTGAAAATAGCTTCGTTTTTAGTCTTAAACTTCTTCAACTGCATTCCTTCCTTGTCCTTATCGTCAGCTTTTTCATATTCAGCATAGACTAGTATATTTACCTTCAATGCCTCGTCGGTGAGTTCTTCTTTAATTTTTCCTATCACGAGGTCTTTAACTGTGAGTAAGTAATCATCGATGATGAGAAGCTCCGGTTGGAGGTTGGTGATGAAAAATGTTTTCAACCTGCTTTGACAAGCAGTCTCGACTTGAACAATCGGAACTTTAGTCTCAAACAAATTTCTTATGTGACTTGCAGATTCTTCATGTTTTTCTCTTTTATGGTATGAGATCTTGCACGTGTCACAATATTCTTAATTCTCGTCCTTGTTGTCATCGGCAGGTGATGAGGTGTCCTTCATGGTGGACATCTTTTCAATGTGTTCGGGAGATTGCTCATAATTCTCTCCTTCCGCATAAAACTCATCACAAAGATCACAATGGACGAGCGCGTCGTGCTCCTGTTTAATATTCGTTTCATCGTTGATACCCTCCTCCCTCTTAATTTGTTCCGTGCAGTGTTCGTGCTTTTCACCTTGTTTATAAAATTCATCACAATTGTCACATTGGATGAAAGTCTCAACATTCTGTTGTGCTTGTTCTTGAGCAGCCATGATAAAGATACTATTTTAAGCTCAAAGTCTTCCGAGTCGGTTAGAAAAGGGAATCTACACTATTTTAACGTTTGCTAGATTCTGTTCACTGAGAAGATTTCAGAGGGAACAACTGATACTATTTTAAGCTCTAAGTTTTATGCGTTTGCCACAACAGAAAATCTACACTATCTATACGATTGTTAAATTCTTTCCACTGAGAAGATTTCAGAGCGAACAACTGATACAACTTTAAGCTCCAAGTTTTCTGAGTTTGTCACAAGAGAAAATCTACACTATCTTTACGATTGTTAAATTCTGTTCACTGAGAAGATTTCAGAGCGAACAACTGATACTACTTTAAGCTCGAGGTTTTTCTAATGTCATCAAAACCGAGACCGACGAACTTTCGCTCGGAGACAAATCCTCAGTTTTCATACCGAGCGAAAAGAAACTGTAAAGTCATAATTTACCTCAGAGTAAATATAGTATTAGTATTCGCTCATTACCAAACTCGGTTACACTCGGACAAACTGTGTAGTCATAATTTAGATCAATGTAAATATACTAGTAGTAGTATTTCTTAATCACCAGTTTTGGTTACACTCGGACAAACTGTGTAGTCGTAATTTAGATCAAAGTAAATATAGTAGTTGTAAAATTAGTAACATACACTGACCTGTACATTACCTAAAAATAAAATGTCTGCCCTTCCATTGTCCGAATGTGCAATTAGGTTTTTGAGTTTTGAAGATTGTTTGTTCATGAGTTTGTATGAAATACCATTGGAGATGGAAGAAAGTCTCAACAACCAAATTGTTGAGTCACTGTATTTACGAGTGGACCCGATTTATCACAGCAGGCGCAGCCACGTGTGTGACTACGAGTGCGTGCGTACGTTAGAAGCGATTCTGAAAACTCTCAAATATGAATTGTGCGACAAACCCGCGTTTTATCGGTGTTTTATGAGTGGTTTTTGTAAGTGGGCTCTAACATATTTATGCACCAAAAATGTCATTTCGTTGTAAATACAAGCTGAATTGCTGCTCCTCGAGTGATGAGTGCGTGTCGCGGAGAGGATTCAAAAATACTCATTTTCAACCCTTACCTACGTGAACTGTTGAGAACCTTAAACTCAGTCGCATGTGTTCAGGGCACATTATGACTCTGTATTCACTTCATGAAGCTTCCAGATAACTTTCATATGAGAAACCAGGCCTTTTTCAAATGGTTGGGTCTGGACGCGAGTCACAACAGTTGGATCGATAGTAAGGATTTCGTATAAATAGTATGCATTCTCTTCTCAGTATCCTAAGGAAGAAATCTTGATCGATAAAATTATTCTCCTCACTTTCATCATCATCATCGATGTTGTTGGAGCGAATTCCACAGTGGCGGTGGAAAACTCATCCGAAGCAAACTTCACAATGTGCCCGGTCTATCCGGAAATCAAATGCGCACCCTCTACCTTGGCGGACGTTCTTCTATTCATCTTGAGTTTACTGGCGCTCATTTGTTCCGCTCCGTACCTGTACTCCAAGTACCTATCATCCGACTGCAAGTTCCGTTTCACCAGAATGTCCCGTAAGAATAACAATCGGAAAGTCGATGACATAAGTGTCGATTTAAAGTTCGGAGAAGGAGAAGGGATCGATGTTTGTGGTTGACAACCCTAGCGTTTTTAGAACGCGTATGTTTTCTGAACGCGTACGTTTTCTAAACGCGTAGGTTTTACTAAACGCGTGGGTTTTACTAAACGCGCGGGTTTTACTAAACGCGCGGGTTTCACTAAACGCGCGGGTTTCACTAAACGCGCGGGTTTCACTAAACGCGCGGGTTTTACTAAACGCGCGAGTTTTACTAAACGCGCCGGTTTTACTAAACGCGTGGGTTTTACTAAACGCGAACGGGTTTTAAACTGTAACTGTAAATATCTACCGAAAAAAAAAATAAAAAATTTTTGATTCATTAAACTGAACATTGTAATATCCAATCCCAGCTGCTCGTCCCAAAACACAAGGTTCCAATACACACCTCCAAGCGCACACCACCGCCACGCCACTAAAAATTGAAATCCCTCGCGGGTAACTTTACTTGCGGTATAAGTTTAAGTTTTCCTGATAGCTGAAAGCATTATGAGCTCAATGAAAGCTCAAGAAAAAATTTTCCAGGGGTGGACCAACAGCAATCCGAAAAATTTTTAATTTCCCGAATCAGACCCTACTCTCCAGTGTCCGATACCAGGTTCATACTGGAGAAAGAGGTCTATCGAAACCGAAAATTTTTACAAGTCCGAAATTCCGAATCTTTTGAACAATCTGGCAACATTGTATCGAAAAATCAACTAATTTTTGCCCCATCTGGCAACACTGTAAAATTCGATGTTGCCAAATTTCACCAATAATTAATTAATTTGTTCAAGTGCCCAATCCGGCAACGCCGTTCCGCCATCTCGAATAATACACCATTGCATAACCCGCATTTTGAAGGGCATTATTACACCATTGCATAACCCGCATATTGAAGGGGCAACATACAATATTTTTACTTTTTACAGCGTTGCCATATTGAATAATAATCCCTATACAACACTGTTATTTAATTCTTATTTTTCTGCACCATTATGCAACGCTGTACGATTTTTATTGGAATTTTTTCGTGGTCTAATCCCCATTTTTACCCTACTATCTGCGACGTGTGAACTATTCAATCGAAACAAAAAAAGTCGTTTTTGGAAAAACCTCAACGTTACGGTAATCATTTAGAGCTTATTACATCGTTGCCATGTCTCTCCTGACTGTTGCTGACTGTTGCTCGGGACAATGATTCTAGCGCGTGAAAAAGTTGTTGATGGAGCAAAAATGAAATTGACATATTTTTTTTCTCAAATTCAAAAGCATTACCTATCATCTCCGATAAAGTCTTCTTATATATTCACTCTAGTTATGCTGCAACATCGTTTTAAAGTCAAGAACCAGACACGGGGGACACGCAAATTTGGGACAAATGTAGGCAATTTGCACATTCAAAGTTCTCCTAAATTTTTATTTCAGTCCAAATAAAGTGGGAAATAGCATGTAATAGTCAACAATAGTGGGAAAAATGAGAAAAAAATTTGATCTGCCTATTTTTCTCAGTTTATGACGATTAAAACAGCTCGGGACACCAAATTAGACGCTTATTTGAACTCACCCAGGTACCTTTGAACATCTCAAGTATAATTTTTTATTTACATACTTTACAGAATGAGCAATCCACCAGCAGCTAACAACCAGCAGCTAGCTCCCGGCCATGGGACCTCGCCTCTCCGCGTAATTAACTATCCGCTGACGCCCATCTTCAATCAGACAAGCCCGGGCCCCAGCCAGCTGCCGCCCGTCCGCCAGACGTTGCGCCTGGAAGGAATGGATTTTTGGAAGAATCACTTGCGTAAGTAATGGTTACAATTTTTAACCTTGATATGAACCCGTGTCGTGTTATACAGGTCTATGCTCTTATACAGGGTTATCTAAAAGTCACTGACCACCCCTGGAAGGCCTTGTCTCCACGAGCCGTTTCGCGAGATTTGTCCCAGGGAAAAATCCCACTTACGAAGTTGGGAAAAATATTGAGTTAACCAATATTTTTCCCAGTACCAAGTATGGTACTTGTACCCCTCGGACCCACTGAGAGAAGAAGAAGAAGTGAAAACTAAATGTGCGATATTTTATTCATTACTACATTGTTCATGTTTGTTCAGTTAAAATAATGTGTTCTAATTGTCAATTGATTGCATTTATTATTTTAATCCCGGTTAAATACTCGACTTTGACTAATTTATCTTCCCGCGCAAACTAGTCGCAGGACTGTATGAGCCCCGTCCCGTGGAGACGGTAATTGGGAAAAATCCCAGAAGTTTCATTCCTGCGATTCGAACTTGGGAAAAATCCCATTAAAACGTCCCGTGGAGACAAGGCCTGACGTTTTTCCAAATTGAGATAGAAGTTTGAAACTTTGGCAATGTTCCTCAGTCTAAAGTAGCAACTTCTTGGTGCCCTCAAAATTTTGGCCCCCCCCCCTAAGAAGGACGGGGGCTAACTTTTTTTCCAAATGTTTTCCCCTTCATTCAATTGGGAGTTTCTGAGAAACTAAAGTTTACCGTCAAAAAGAAAGCTCGGATTCAACATTGTTGGGTTGCCAAATTATGTTAAAACTTTCAGTATAAATTGTTGCAGTGTATAATAGCAGTGGAAAAATTTACCTATCTTCGATTTTTTCGAAAAACCCTACCAGTCCCACCTCCAGCCATGTCAAACTCCCCCGGAATGACGCTACCCCGGCGAGAACACTTTGCCTCCGATGCCGACGGCCAGGCTGCAAGGACCTAAAGGGACGGCTCGAATACTCCCCGAAGGGACGTGACGGCTCCCGTTGCATTTTCTGCCGTTCAAGCAAAAGAGGTCTCACTAGCGTGCGCCGAGCCACGCCACCGGGCGAGCAAGGCAGGGCAATAGATCGAGAGCTATAGCACCGAATTATCTAAACGGAGCATAGAGTACAATAGAGTCGCAATGTACTGGATCGCCGATGAAGCCACTTTTGGAGGCTGTTTTGTCCAGTACACGAGAGACTAGCGTGCGGCGACTAGCGATGACGCACGCGCAGAGACTGGCGCTCAGCGCTCCCCACTCCCCGACTCGGCTCCGCTACAGTGAGGTCCATACACATTGAACCAGCTAAGTAGGCCGGTAATAAGTCTGAAATTGAGTCCATAGATGAATATCATCCAAGAGTAACATACATTAATGGATTCGTTATGGCTTTAAATATCTATTTAAAGCAAAATTTGCACAAATTAATATAGATGGAATTAAAAAAAGTCGAAAAAACACAAGCAGTCGTTGCTTTTCCCGTAAGCCGCCGTGATAAGAAATGCCGGTTGGTTCACACTTGGTATAAGTCAGAAATTAAATCCCTATATGAATATTATCCAGGAGTAATATTACATCAATGGATTCATTACGGCTTTGACTACCTTTTAATAGCAAAATTTGCAAAAATTAATGCTGATTGAATTATAAAATGTCGAAAAAACACAAGCAGTTCTTGATCTCTCCATGAGCCGCCGTGTTACAAAATGCCGTAGGGTTCACACTTGGTTCACACTTTTCGGAGCACACGCGGCTCGGAAACGCCTGTTCTTGGATTGGCTTCATCGGCGCTCCAAGTACATTGCGACTCTATTGTACTCTGTGAACCGGAGAGTATAAGAATTTTCACATACATTATTAGATCGGGACACTCGAGTGTAGCAGCAAGGATCGGGCAGTCTGGCTGGTCATAGCCGATGGGTTCAAAATTTGAGACCCATCAAAGGACTACGTGTAAAACGGGCCATTTGGGGCTCGGGGAGGATACCTTTGAGACTTGCCCTCTTCATTCACCTAACAATGCCCCATCTTTTCCCAAAGTTTCAAGCCCCCCAAAAATTTTGGGGAGACGCAGCGGGGGGTCAAAGTTAAAAACCGGCAAAATTTTCGCGAATTTATTTCTCGAAAACCAAGAAGGTTTGGAAAACGCGGTTTAAACGAGCGCATTCAGCGTGACGAGATCTTTCAGAAAATGTATAACATCATAGGGTTTTGTCAACTTCAGCTCGAGTTATCGCCTCCGAAGCGCCGGAACACTCAAAAAAGACCCCTTATTTTTTCACGTTTGGGCCGATTTAAAAAAAAGCCATTCTTTTATTTTGATGAAAAACTGATATGTTGTTCCTGACTCTCTGTAGCCCCTCTAGCTCTTTACCGCATGCTGGGGAAATGTATTGGTCGCGAGTTATAAGAGCGGAAAGGAGCGAAGGTCGGGAAAATCGGCTATTTTAAACTGCGCGCGCGGCGTTGATCGGAAGGAAAACGTCCCCTCCCACAGTAGTATGAAAATGAGGACTTGAGCCCAAAAGTTTTTAGCCAAATTGTGCAGAAAAATACGAATTAAATTACAGTGTTGTATAGGGATTATTGTTCAAGATGGCAACGCTGTAAAATAAAAGTATTGCATGTTAGCCCCTTCAATATGCGGGTTATGCAATGGTGTAATAATGCCCCTTCAAAATGCGGGTTATGCAATGGTGTATTATTCAAGATGGCGGAACGGTGTTGCCGGACTGGGCACTTAAATAAATAAATTAATTATTGGTGAAATTTTGCAACATCGAATTTTACAGTGTTGCCAGATGGGGCAAAAATTAGTTGATTTTTCCGTACAGTGTTGTCAGATTGTGCAAAAAATTCGGAATTTTGGACTTGTAAAAATTTGAGGTTTCGAAAGACCGTATCCTCCAGTATGGTTCTGGTATCGGAAACTGTAGAGTAGGGTCTGACTGGGGAAATTAAAAAATTTTCTAAGTCCCGTGCTGGAAAATATTTCCGGAAAATTGTGCAAAAATTCGGAATTTCGGACTTGTAAAAATTTTAGGTTTCGAAAGACCGTCTCCTCCAGTATGGTTCAGGTATCGGAAACTGTAGAGTAGGGTCTGATTGGGTAAATTAAAAATTTTTCTAAGTCCCGTGCTGGTAAATATTTTCGGAAAATTCCCATTTTCCGATCCGCCTCGGATCTATGCGATTCTTTTACACTATAGGAAATCGGAAAGCTGTACAGACCGAATTTTGATACGTCTTTTAGTTTTCGAGAAAGTTCGAATTTAACCTAAGTCGCATACGTATCTAATGTGTACATACGAGTTTTCGTGCTTCCTTGAAAACATGGGAGTCTTAACTTTTACTATTGACAGGTTGTATATCTGATGGTAAAAAACACATCCATGACACATACCTATCTTATGTGTATGCGCGGTTTTGTTCCTTACATTGTTTCAGATTGTGTAAAAAATTCGGAATTTCGGACTTGTAAAAATTTGAGGTTTCGAAAGACCGTCTCCTCCAGTATGGTTCTGGTATCGGAAACTGTAGAGTAGGGTCTGATTGGGGAAGTTAAAACATTTTCTAAATCCCGTGCTGGAAAATATTTTCGGAAAAATTCCCATCCTCCGATCCGCCTCGGACCTATGTGATTCTTTTACACTATCGGAAATCGGAAAACTGTACAGACCGAATTTTGATACGTCTTTTAGATTTCGAGATAATTCGACTTTAACCTAAGTCGCATGCGTATCTTATGTGTACATACGAGTTTTTATGCTTGCTTGAATAAATAGGTTGGTAGTTCACTCTTGACTTTAGCTATTGACAGGTTGTATATCTGATGGTAAAAAACACATCTATGTCACATACCTATCTTATGTGTATACGCGGTTTTGTTCCTTACATTGTTTTCAGATTGTGCAAAATATTCGGATTTTTGGACTTGTAAAATTTTTCGGGATCGATAGATCATATCCTATAGGATGGGTTGGTATTGGAGACTGGAGAATAGGGTCTGAATAGAAAAATTAAAATATTTTCGGAAAATTCCCAACCTCCGATCCACCCCGGACCGATGTGATTCTTTTACACTATCGAAGATCGGAAAACTGTACAGACCGAATTTTGATACGTCTTTTCGTTTTCGAGAAAATTTGACTTTTACCTAAGTCGCATGGGTATCCTATGTGTGTATAAGAGTTTTATGCTTGCTTGAATACTGTTGACAGGTTGTATGTCTGATGGTAAAGACACATCTATGAAACACACCTATCTTATGTGTATACGCGGTTTTCCTTCGTATCCCCCATAGATTGTGGTCCTCGCTCCGTCCAAAGTTCAAAATTCATCGTGAAATAGCTGTCTGTTTGTGGATCGCACAACGGTGTGACGCCTGGTTTTAGTTTCTACAGATCATGGGGTATCAGGAAAGCGTAAACGTGCATTGCGGGTAGCCCGCGCTCGCGAAAGGGCATGCGGTGAAACTTCAGCACATTCCTATGGGTCCTCACTCGATGCGTCCTGAAATCAATGTTCAACGCCGAATATCTGTTGGTCCACAAGTCCTAAAAATCTTTGTAGGGCTTTCATTGAGTTCGTAGTACTAACAGCTATCAGGAAAACTTAAACTTATACCGCTAGTAAATTTCCCCGCGATAGGGCGCTGTCTCGAATTTCAGAGGGGGAAAATTCGACAAATTTGTAAGATTATCAATCTTTAACACCGATTGCTGTTGATCCATAAGTCCTAAAAACCTTTTAGAGCTTTCATTAAGTTCGTATAGTACTAACAGCTATCAGAAACACTTAAATTTTTAGCGCTACTAAATTCGCCCGCGGTAGGGTATGTGGTGAAACTTCAGTTTATGGGGTCCTCGCTCGATGCGTCTCAAAATCAATGTTCAACGTGGAATATCTGTTGATTCGTGGGTGTCAGAATAGTCTTAGGACCCTTATTCACTTGTGTGGATTGAAGAGTATCAGAGATACCTAAAATTTGATTGCGCGCTCTCACCCATTAGTCGTACA